TTTTTACACAACAAATTCAACAGCAAATAACAGCATCAATTGCATTTATGACTGTTGAAACAGATTTAAAAGAAATTCGAGATTTTTTACGTACAACAAGAAAACGTATGGAAGATAAAGAAGCAAAAGCTAAAACTATCAATGATTGGAAACAAGTTGCACTTGTACTTGATCGAACTTTTTTTTTTATTTACTTAGCTGCTATTATTATCTCTCTTGCTGCTATGTTCCCTAGATAGAATTCTATCCTCGTTTTCTCTTTGTTTTTCTGTCTTAGTTTATTTAAAGAACTAGTTTCTATTGTTCCGGTAATGATATGTGACGATGATGATGATGAGAAAAAACAAAAAAGATGTCCAGACTTATTTGTTTGCTCAATGTACATTAAAATAGAAGAAACAGTAAAGCATTAATAAACAATTAGAGAAATAATTCGTTCTTTTTTTCTTCACAAAAATATTACAAACAATATAAAAAAAAACAAATTATATTTAAAATTCATTTACATCAGGCGATTGATGTTTATACCGTTCATGTATACGTTTTCGGACTAATAATTCTAATGGACTAATATTTCGTACGAAATGTTTATTGGCAAGAAGTTTAGCAAGTTCAGAATTATCATTATCTTCCTCTTCATCAATATTATGCACAACGATTAAAGGTTTTCGAGATTCACTAAGTGTATGGATATTATGGGCAACAAATGCGATTGTTATCAATAAGATAATAAAACTGATGATTAGTAATACTTCTTTAAGAGGATTTGGTTTATAGCGTTCAAATTCAGGTACATGCCATGGTATATGTATACAACTGTACGATGAACGATAATATAATTTCTTAGTTTTATTACTTAATAAATTAACACAGATTTCATAACGACCAGGTGATAAATGATGTATATTAATTGTATTGTTTTCTTTTTTATTTCTATTGATTTGAGTAAAATCACCTATTTGTTTTTCAAAACGATCTTCAAGATGAATATGATCACCAGAAATTAAATTAATAACTCTTAGTGTAAATATGTAATAGGAAAAGAAATTTTCGTTATAGTCACTTTGATTAAATCTTAAATGTAACCATATACGTAATGATGTTGAATTTAATTTTTCACGACATAAATATACATGATTATATTTAATTGATGTGTCCAATGAACAATTATGCGCATATGTTAGAGTAATAAATACAAAATATATCAGAATAAACATTCAATAAAAAAATTCGAAGACAAGGTGTAAAAGAAGACATATTTTCTTTTCTGCTTTCATTCTTTTATATCCATTGAGATGTTTGAGGTAATATTAATATATTTTATTCATCTGAAAATAAATATTCTCGTCAATTATGGAAAAAAGAAAAGAAATTTTTATATCAAGCTTCAATACATAAATATAGGTGAAGTGTTATGTAAATAAGAATGAAAAAAAATAGGCTTTATTTCGACTCATGAAGTCGACGACAGGAGTACGTTACACGATCAGGTAATGTTCGATTGATTGATATCAAATTATTACCTCTTCTGTAATTTAGAAAACAAAATCAATAAACATCGATCATGTATAGAAGAAAAAAAAAGAGTATATATTATATCTTACGATAGTGCAATTATTCTTCGTTCTGGATTTAAACTTAATTTTGTTCGTGCATTAAATGCCATACATGCACTATCAGATGAAGGAGTTTTATAGTAACAATGATTAGCAACCGAGAATCGTTCAACTTAAAATTAGTTTCATTTTATTTTAAATTAATCCAATAATAAGAAAATTATCTTTAGATACTTACATTGTGTTTGACGAATATTTTCATTAAATTGAAATTTTATGTCAGTACTATATTTCTAAACAAAGAAAAAAGCAATCTCAAGGCTTATCTAAATATATACATTTCTTTAGTTACACTTGTTTCCCCAGAGATTGGAATAATTTGTATTTCTCGATCCAAATCTGCCATTTCGGTTAACATTAAACACCACTATGACAAGAAAAGAATATGTTTCATTTAATTATCAAGACAAATAAAGAAAAAGAATTTTAATATATTAGTTTAGTTTAAGATAACAGAAATAAAATACTTTTAGATAGAATTTCTTTTAGATTTGTAATACAAATATTATTAATTATTTTTCTCTTACCAAATTTTGAAGATATTTTTCTGTTATTAAATTTTTTTCTATAATTCCAGCAAAAAGCATACGTGAATTTCGTTGAATATAAAGTATATATTCATCACGTTCAAATTCATCATTTTGTGATGGTACATCACCCCATTTTGCATGTCCTTCTTGATTTCCATTATTATTATATTCAGGATCATCTAAATCTGAATGACTTGTAAGAGTTCGTTGTCTTCCACGATAATAATTTGAAAATAATGACATAGGAGGTAAACAAATCATATCTTCTTCACGGCAAGCACTTTCATAATCATCATTTTCTATCTGTTCAAATACGAGTCTAGTAATATTTGTATCATCTGTTCGTGATATGTCCGGATCTATTTTTAAAGAATTTGCATAGTCATTATCCGTTAGAATTGAACGTGTTCGTTTATATTGATTATCAATTTTGTCTTTATTAATTCCTAAGCTATTAGGAGATGTAGGTGAATATATTAAACTAGATTCTTCTTTTGAAAACTAAATTAAATAAAGAAAAATATAATTAAAATATAGATGAAAAATTTATGATAATAACTTGTGGTATTGGAATAAATTTTTTATCATTAAAAGATGATCGAACACTGTTTGTATCAACTGAACTGGTAGATGAAATACGTCTTATTTGGTCGCAATCAAAATCTGTTGTTTCTCCTGATGAACTCGTTGATTGTTGTTCAATTAATAATTTATAACGATTTTTATCACTAGTTGATAATGGATAACTCATATCAGTTGAATGAAATTGTATTGGAGATAGTTCATTTTCACTTGATAATAAACTACTGATTATATTAATTGGATGTGATTGTGTTTGAGAATTAGCATGATATGTTGAACTTGTATTTATAGCATTTAAGATCGGTTGTAAACTAGGTGGTCGACGAATATATATTCGAATTAATGATACACCGTTTTTTAATTTGATTTCAGGATTTAATCTCATGTATATTTCATTTAGCTAAAAGAAATAGGTAAATTAATTTTTATTTAGATAATAAAAAGTTGAAAATAATTGTATAAATTATATTAAATTTGATTTCTAGATGAATAACACTATTTTAATCATTACTATCACGATTCAGGAATAGAATACTTCCACTGTTTTATCTAGCGAAGGAACATGGGACATTTTGCACCTCCGAAGATTGCGTTTGCCCTCTCGAGATTTACGATTTTTGTGCCGTTTACAATGCGTTCCCTCCCGGGAATCGTTTTTGACTCCTCGGAAGTGAAATCCTGAATAAAACACTGAATGTTAATTTATAGCTAAACAAATTACATCTGAGAAACATTATTAAAATATAAAATTGAATTGATATAAGAGATCGAAAACAAACTAGGGTTTTCAAAGCTCAGTTAAGTCTAACTGATTAATCGCGATTTCACGAGAACTCTAAGTTCTGAAACATCATCGAGATTACTAATCAAAGTAGTTAGTTCATTTCAATCTTTGAATAACTTACCGGTAAATTATGTTCTAAACCCAATATAGTTTGTAAATAAAATGTTGTCTCAACATCAATCGTAGAATATAATATTCTATTAAATACACATGTATATTAATATTATTAATATATGTTAACTAACCGTTTTTCATAACTAAAAAATCCAGCCTTTATTCCATGTCTTGATTCTAAATGATTTAAAAGATGTTTTATATGTAATAAAGATCGTCCGTCATTCTATAAAATAATATTTAACAAAAAGAAGATTGTATATTAGCTTCATACTTTTTTCATTGGTGCATAATCAATAGCTGAAAATAAATTTTTTATCGAACGATTTTCATTAAATACATATTCCATAATTGGTGTTAAAGTTTGTTTAAGATATATTTCAATTTGATTTATATCTGAATAAATCTATAGAATAACAGATTTTTAAAATTGTAATATTATTCGGTTTTCTTACTGATTGTATATGATTCAATGTACCGTAGAGCATATTAAATAATTGTAAAATATGAGTTAGATGCATATTAGCTTCATCTATAGTGAATCGATCTTTGGATAAAACTAAAAACTTAATGAATACAAAAAAGAAAGAATCAATAATCAAAATATAAACTAAGATTATTTTTACTGCAGAATGTCTTCCGAAATGTTCACAGGAAACCAATGATTTTTTAAAATTAAATTCCTTTGGTAAACATTCAAACAAATCATGCTTGAAGAATTGAATTAAACCAATAATTTCACCGCAGTCAAGAAGTTTCTAGAGAAACAAAACAAAACAAATAGAACAACTGATTGGATTAATAAAAAAAATTACATGAGCAAAATTATTTATTTTATAGCATCTAATTTTTTTTTATTTGTTCACATATAGATTACTTGTCTTTTTAGGTCTTCTTTTGGAGAGTAAAAATATATGATTGATTCTGGAACTAAGTCAGTCTCATCTGTCGAATCTTTCATATGATAAAAGTCGAATATAAAAAAATAGGATGTAATTCTATTTCCGATTGTTGTTGTCATCTGAAAAATTCAGAATAATTTTAAAATATGAATCTTACTTCTTCTAGACATTACAATAAATATAAGAAGATAATTATGCACTTTTTGTACAATATCGTTTTCGACTATTATGCACTGAAAAACAAATTCTTTCTCATATTGGCGAGGAATGAATACAATTTATTTCTCTAGGATAAATGATAAATACGTTTAATTCTATTATGATAAAGATTCTTTGCATAGTTTTGTTTGAAGAAGTAAGTGTACTCTAGTGTCTTTCAAATGAAAACGAAAGGGAATATAATGCAGTACGCATGTGATGATAACACGCCGTTGTCTATTCACATCACGCTGACAAAGTCTAATCTTTTTTAACCTACATGTATGTTCTATTTTATAGGTCGATTTCTAACTTATAAAATTAAATTTTGAAGGATGATGCATAAGTGTAAATAATTAAAATCCAAAATTTTCATAAAACATGCTCAAGTTATTTTTATCGATATTGTTAACTTCAGTTTAATTCATATTTGAAAGTGTTAGTTTTGTTATACTAAATCTCTCTATGTCTAAAATGAAAAAACTGAATTTAGACAATTTTATTTTGCTCGTT